ACTAAGAGTCTTTGATTTTACGAACTTAATATGTTGTAGTTCATCTGCAGTAAAGGTCCAGATTTTTTTTTGAAATAGTTAGATGCTAATCATAGACATCTCTGCTCTTCAAACTCTGCTTATTTCTTATTGGTAATAGAAAATTGTAACTTGTAAATTCACAATTACTACGATGAAAAAAGTATATGATAGTAAAAGAACTATTTGTATTGTTATTGCAAATACGTATTCATTTAATATGCAATTAATCAGTTTTTATTATGCAAGTCTTATCAGCATTAAGAACTGACCCGAGTCATTTTCAATTGGTGGTAATTGAAAAATGACATCCATCGATTGATAACGTATAACACATGTTTATACATATTTAGATCTGCATTATGGCTGTTTAAATTCAGAGGCACTTAAAAAATAACCGAAATGATATATTTTATCATCAGCCAAAGTCAGTAACTTATTGATTCGCTAACGGAAATCAAAAGTTTTTGCAAAATTCGGATAAATTTTGGTACGGGATATGAATATTATACGAATATGCAATGTCCCTCTAATATTAACACCTTAACTCACTTAGTTTATTTACAAAATTAGATTTCCCTTTTTGTTTTGTATTACCCACGCAAATAAGTAAAATGGGGATGATCCGGAGCATAAATTTTATGCCAAGTTAAATTTCTAGCTAAATAGAAACTGTCCAGAATTGATAACAAAAATTCACGCTTACGTGAGGGTCTGCAGAAATCATCCAATAGGTGATCATAGGAAAATTCGTCCACCTTCGAACTCAGACTAGTTTGCAGACTTCGGACCAGACCCGGACCGAACCCACAATTGAGTCTGAGTCTGGTCTGAAGTCTAAAATTAGTAAAATTTAGAGTCTGAGTCTGGTCTGATCCCAAACCAGACTCAGACCAGACCAGACCCGGACCAGACCTAGGAACACTAATTACAAGACTGTTTAAATGCACTTCAAGACGTATCAATACGTATTTGTTTATGAATATATATATGTATGTGCGCAGTATATAGTATGATACTATAATAGTACATATGTTACAGGTCAAATTGGTCTTTAGGTTAAGAAAATCTTGATCCAGGTCAAATTGATCCCTAGCAATTTTTAGGATTAGGGCCCCAGGTCAAATTGATCTCTAGCAGAATTTTAGGGTTAGGGTGGGCCAGAATTATGTTGATGCCGGCTGGGGTTTTTTAAATGAACAATTTTACCCAGGTCAAGGTTAACTTGATCTAAAAACTAATTTAACCTGTAGCATATATATACGGTTAAAAATGTGTATATATCTATAATATTTTCTTTTTAAATGTTTAAAATTAGTTGTTTTTTGCTTAGAGATGTTATAATAACATATCTTATTTTTTAAGTTGTGTGTATCGACTATATTATGATACGTGAACAATCATCATATGATCTTAGTGTCGATCAATATAAGTACTTTATTTGTGTTATCATGTGACGGGTGTACTAAAAAAAAAAATCTATAATTTATAACTTTGATTTATTAATTTATTTAAATAATTTAACTATTAAATAATTTTTTTAATACAAACAAAAAGAAACTCTTTTGCTAATTATCAATTACAAATTTATAAAAAAATAAAAATACAAAACTAATAGAATAGTACTAAGAAGCAATACTTACACAACTAAGTTAAAGAAAGAAAACACAAAACAACATTCTGTTTCTTAGAAGACTGAAGTTAAAAAGTCAAAAACCAACAATATATAAAAAAAACTTGAAAATAGTAAAGTTTTTGTTGTTTGTAAACAATTTTCTGAAAGAAGTACTTGATTTTATAGTACAAATTTGTTAATGTAATATAACTATACAATATATAACAAAAAAATAAAACAAATATATAAATTAATATATGATAAGCATAATATAAAAACAGCAACAATAGACTTCTCTATTTCAATATTAGCAAATGGTTGCAACCACACAAATTGGCATTCATTACTTTTCTGAACAATATTCATATCATGATCTACCTCATTAAATTGTTGACCAGAGTATGAAAGTTCTTTTGGTATATCTAATCGTCTGTCTCTCAGGATCTATCATGCTGCTAATAGCTGTAAACTAAATTGTGCCTTCTCCGTAATATTAAGCAGATAATAAAAATGCTGACAAACTAGACCTTTTCTTTGCTACAAAAGACAAATACAACCATATGAACCATTTGCAAAAAGAAAATAAAATGATTAATCTTGTGACTTGTTATTTGTGATACTTTCCAGATTTCTTCAACTGTATTCCATTCTAAATAAACTAGAAGGTACTTAGCAGACAGGTAAACCACATCAGGCTTATCATCCATATCCTTATTTTGTGAAAATTTATAAACTATTTGTGATTCTACCTCTTCAATTGTGGAACAACTAGCTGTATAATACATACTTTCCTTCATCTGCTCTATTAAAAAATATGAAACATTTGGCCTTAAATAACATTTTACTAAAGATTCTATAGAGAGAAAAACAGTAACAATGCTTGCTGTAGAAAGAATGCCCATCTCCATTTCTCAAGTTGCTTTTGCTTTTGTTCTTTCTTACTTCTTTCCATCAATACTTTATCTAGATCATATAATAAAGTATTACTATTCTCCAACATTCACTTAATGCATGCATTTTGACTTTCAACGAAGGATGTAGATTGAATACCAAGTGTAAATGTTATAGTTGTGAAAGCACGTGCCTATGAATATCAACATATATGAAGATAATATTCAAGATATAGTTTTGTATTCAGGAAGTTCATAAGTTGATTTCAATAGTATTCGAAGCCTTGTAATGTATCAGCATTCCTGCATTGCCAAAACTTGTTGTAAAATTCATCAAATGAATTCCCCATCTTTCTACGCAATACCTTTTTTAAATTTTTTTTAATATGCCAAATACAAAAAAGATGATGTGTTTCTGGATACTCTAAAGTTATTGCACGTTCCATTGCTGGATTATTATCAGTTACAAACACACAGAGATATTTATTGCTAGTGGATTTTTTAGTTATTTGAAGAACTCACTAGTAAGTTTCAGTTGATTCATTGCTAACAAAAGCTTGAGCAGCAATGCGGGATTGCATATTATCATCATATGCTACAAATAAAGAAAGTAGCATATTATACCTATTAGTACTCACAGTGTTATCATACCCAATTGCCTCACCAAATTCATTTCTCAATAGAATTTGTTCTAGACTTATTCAGAACAAATTCATTAACGTATTGGTTTCTTCTTCCCATAAAGCTTCAATAAACTAATGAGAATCTTCTTGCTGTTTTGATAACAACTACCTATAATATTGTGACGCATTACTTCTAACTACACTACTTGATGGTTGGTATCATTGAATTTCGATATAGAGATCTCTGGAAAACATAGAATGAGATGGAACCTTCTCCTTTAATATATATCACATCATAGATGCACCAAGACAATATTTAGTAACAAGAAATTCAACCTTCTTCTGCATTTTATCTGTAACTGTTTGTTTTTTTCAAAGTGTATTGTCTCAGAAGATAAGTCATAACTATGTTTATCCTTAAAAGTAGTAATAATTACACGGTAATTGGGATTGTCTTTCAAAGAGCGTAAAAGATTAATATGCTATAGGCATGATAATTGAGCCAAAGTGCTTGGCTTTTTAGTATTTTTAGGCTTAAAAGTGCTAGTGTGCTTGCAGAGAATAGTTCGCTTACGAACTACCTTATCATCTTCAGTTATATCTACCATGTCTTCAGTTGCATCTACTATTTTTATATACCCAAGTCGTATTTTAACTCTCTTATATTCTGCAAATCAATGTACATAAGCCTCAGCATTATCAAAAGTATTGAAAAAGTCACCCACTTTTAAAGATACTAGTTCGGATTATTGTATATATCATTTATGGTATCATTTATATTCTCACTACAATGAGTAATTTTCTCAAAATATATTGTCAAATCGACATCATCCTTGCTAAAATCTTCCATAATTATGTATGATTTTTTTTGTTTGCTATTAAAAAAGCTATTAAGAAGGGGAAGTTTGAGTTCTGTTTTGAAAAAAAACTAATTTGTAAGCACAAGTATTAATAATAACAAATTCAAGCCTAAGTTTATTTAAAGTTAATAAAATTTCAACAATCATAATTCTGACTAACTGTTTTGTATTTTTACCAAACCTATAATTTTCTTGATAGTGCATTATTAAAAAAGCTATTTTTATTTGAAAATAACCTAAAAGAAATACTGTAAAAGTGAATTAGTCTCATTAGTAGAGGTTGAGAGAAGTGACGTGTAATGATGTGTAAATTATGTTTCTTTATTGACCAACTACTATCCCTGTCTTGCTTATAGCCTTTCTGGATTTCTACAAATAAAAGATCGTTCTTGCCTCGAAATAACCTCAAGGAAAGTTTAGAACAGAGAATTAGCTTTATTATTTAAATATATAATATATGCAAAGAAACCAATATATATTAAACTATAGTACTACTGGTAAATCATAGTTAATAAAAATTTTGTGATCTGTATCATGTGACAGATACACCATGGTGCATAGTGTATCAAATTATAATTCTCATAAATTATATATAAAATTTTATAATTAAATTAAAAAAAAATTAATTAAAATATCTTTTAAACTAAATTATAGACAAATTTGTTTAGAAAATTAATTTATATTTAGTATTTTTAAATAAAATAATAATTTAGTAATAATATAGAGTATATATTTATTATAGAATTTATTTTTAAAAATATATTTTATAAACTTTATTACAAATTTACTAAAAATACTATAGGTGTTGAACACTATATCACACAAATCTATTAGAATAGAATGATACAAATTACTAACTCTTCCTGATGATTACTTGTACCAAATTTTTCTTGAAAACAATTGCTATTTTTCCAAAATTTTATTAAGTAAACTACTCTTGGCTGCCTAAGTAAAGTTGTTTTGTACTTAATTTTACTTATAGGCAGCTTTGTTTTATAGCTTCAAAGCTTCTTGCTACAGAGTATAACTATATTTTTAAAATTCTACTCTTTTGCTATTTTCTTAAAACTTTATTAAATAATCCTATATTGTTCCTTAATAGAAAAAGATTTAGCTCTACCAGAGCTTTATTTTGATATATAATACTTCTTAAATGGATAAAAATTACAAATTTTATAGCTATAATATTCTTAAACTTCATTACAAAAACTGCACTCTATTTTTGTCAAAAAGTTTTTTATTTTTTGGGGATTCTGCCCCTCTAGGATGCCCAAACTTGCAGATTCTCATTACTAATCAAGATTATTAATCAATTTATACAACTTAGCTCCTTGTTACATCTATTTTTATACAAAAACAGGACTTACTTTTTTAGTTTTAGTAAATTTACACTAACTCTGCCTTCTGTCAATCCTGTCAATCTGTTTATCATGATACCAGGTTACACCCTATTTGTCATACTCTTTATTTGTCATACCCTTTTATTTGTTATACTCTTTTATTTGTCACACCCTTTTACTATTCTTCTACTAGCATCATGCTGACTTTAACTTTATCTGAAGAACCAGACTCCTATGATATAGACTACTATTATTCTAAATACCAAGGCCATTTTGGTATTGGTATGAATGAAAATAAGCCTAATTCACTTAAAGTTCTTCTACCATGCTTTAAACCCGAAAACTGTGACATTCAAAAATCTTCCAAAAAATTACACTATTTTTAAATACCCACACAACCTACTATCAGAACTTGTTACTGCAAAAAATACTATACAAGCTTTACTTTCCAATACTACAAACTTTCCCAGCCAACTGTAATTAATCAACCTCAATTTCAGATTACCTCTTCAATCTCCAAAAACCAATTTAAAAGAATTACTAAAGAATTAACTGCTTCTTCAATTACCAAAACACATAGCCAATCTGAACTATCCAATATTAATCCAAGAATACTATTCCCAAATTTTCAAACTAACAAAACTCCCACAGCAATTGTTCCTCACTCCCAACATTACCAAACATGCTTCATTTACAAAATTAAAAATATTCCTTGTATAGCCACAGAACAAAGTAGTCATGCTCCAGACTACTAAGTGGCTTGTATTTTTAAAAATACTGCTTTGCTTCACAGAGACTATGCTCCACTTATTTATGATATTAAACTTAAACCAATTATTCCTAAGCCTATTCCAATGACACTTGATCAAAAATCTATAATTATTTTTCTCAAGATTTGACAAATGTCTGCTGCAGACAAAAGAAATACATTTCTTAAATTTATCAGCAAAATCAAATATTAACAAGCTCCTAACGAGAAACCTAAAAACAATCAACAAAACCAAGAACAATTAGATGACCAACACAATGATGACAAACAGAAACAAAAACAGGACCAAAAACATAAACAAAAACAGGAATAAGAATCCAAGCAAAAGCGTGATACTTCTAATGACCTTGACTGGTTCCAAAAATATCCAATTTCTGAAACTATGAAACTTTATACTAAATTTGACAACACACTCACACACCAACTATTTGAATTTATTAGACCTTATCTCATTGATATCTATTCTGGCAAGATTATTAAACCTGCAACTGAATTCTCTAAAAAACTTAAATTTATATACTCCTACTTAATTAAAAAAATAGCTGGACTAAGACCTCAATTCCTTACTAACTTTATTTACAAGAACCTTCCTGATATCAACAAAGCTATCGCTATTCTCTTCAATATTCTCTACTCTATACTTGAAGGATTATTTAAAGAATTTACCAAGACTCTCTTTACGGAACTTGACTACTCCAAGATTCTCTCCTCCTACAACTCTGTTCCACCTTACACTATTGCTAATCAAAATCTAGTAGCCCTAAACCTTGCACAATTATATCT